TGGTTTGTTCACAGTGCTGCTATGCCTCCAACTCAGTGGTACCAATTTGCTGACCAAAGAGCCTGTTCGATCTTGGTGATAATGGCGAATATCTTATCGTGCATATACCTTCATTGATGAAAGCAAATTGGGGGAATTCAGTTATGAGCAGAAAAGCCTAACACAGTTGCTGCAGCACGTGAGCACGTCCCAGATATTAGAACCTCACACTGGAAATTTTCTAATTGTCAGGCATTAACAGTTTCAGCGCTAGCCAAAAGACAAAGACAGCTGCGTAGAAGTGGGTGTCCATTTGTGCAGTGCAATGGATTAGCTAAAAATGCATCAAAAATGCGGTAATTTCATCAATTGAAAAACAATTGAGAAATATTTTTTGACTAATTATAATTTTGATGATAACAAATAGTTGTCCATGCCCGAGTTGTTGGTCCAATCATTTTGCCCCGTTTTAGCAATGAGATTGTTAATAGGGAGCGCATTCTCTGCTTCACAACGTAGCATTTGCAAATATGATGGGGAATATTCTTGTCGACTTCTTTTTCCGCGTTCAGCAGAGAGAGGGAAAGAGAACTATTGAGCCGGTAATGCTGCTTTGTGAGGGTCACGGCTTCAGCTTTCTAGCATTTTCGTTTACCATGGAAAGAGGATTTCAAGGACTGTGCAAATAAAATTTTAACGTGTCCGCACACGGGACAAATGGTGCATCTGAAAGCTCATTTTGCGCTTGCTGTCCCACGCTTGAACAGCAAATATCCATGCAAAAGCAGAGCCTTCGTCTCAGCCTGTTCCTGAACCATTTTGCAACGTGAAACAGTTTCATTTTTCAATCCTTTTGTTTTTTATGCATCTTTTATATCCTTATCATTTTTCATCCTTTTGTTCGTTTTTTTTTTTTCGAATCGCTTGATTTTCCGTTTCGGCACACTTCTCTTTCTTTGTGGTTTCAAACGCAACTTTTAAAATCCTGGTTTTCCAAGTAAAAGGACCGAACTTCAGATTGCGGGCATCGATCTTCCGTTCGATAAGTGCAACGTTGCACGTACGAGATCACTCAATCCACGTGGAATTTTTGTCTCAACAACAGTCGTGCTCATGTTTCATCCCATATTTCTCACAAAGATTGATCGAGCATTTCATTTTGAATGCTTTTATATGGAAGCAGCGAAGACAGTAAGCACCGGAATTGAAGTATCAGAAATGGTCACCGCTTTACAGACTGACCAGTTGCCTATGCCCGTGTGTCGTTATGAGGTTTGAATACAGCTCTTAATTACGT